ACTTCACACAGTTTCTTGTACATTGCTTCCTCGTTTAACTCCAGGAACTCAGATCTCCAGTCAATTTCGAGGATTTCGTTCCTAATGGCCTCCCAGTCTGTTCTTCGATGATGAAAATTTAGCCCAGCTAGCCCCTCTCGAGGTGTAGGTCTGGGATGGATTCCCCTCTAAATTGTAGTCTCGACCACCATTAGTCAATGGTCTGACAGTGCTGTCTCCTCAACACTGTTCTCTTGTTGGCACCAGAACCTGTTGACTTAGCAAGTGCTCCCTAGCGAATCGAAGTAGTTGTTGTGAGGGGTCCATCCACATTACTGTCATAGACTTTTTCTTCAATACCGTCACTTTGCTCAGTGCTGGGTATCCTGAATAAAATTGTCGACCTTATTCTCCCACACTGAGCAGGTGAGCATATAAGCGTAGGGCAATATTTGTGTATTTGTGTAGCTTAGGATAAAACTGTGGATGTTGGCATTTATGCTTGATAAATTTTAACTAAGTGAAGACAGATCAATAAAATTGCATAGTTATTAATTTAGGCTTTTTTCTTGAGCAGGTCAGATCTTTAGGACTGAACCTTGTCCCACGAGTTCAAATACTAATTTATATTCACGTATGCACTCGTATCGACTTACCTTTTTATATTCACTTTGTACTATTGTCAATAATATTCCCTTGTGTCCTATATACTTTAAGCCTGTAACGTTAACTGTAGTTTATAAACCCAACCTGCCTACTTGAATTGATTTGCTTACCCCTAAATATAATTTCGAACCGACGTTTCCTGACAGTTGTGTTGCCTGGTTTCTGGCCTGATCTCTGCGCCGTCCTATACAGTCGAAGCGTGGCCATCGCATGTGTTGTAGGTTAAAATCTCCCGCAACCACAATATTTGGGGAACGTTCACCTAAGTTGGCCACCTCTGTTTCTCTTCTCTCGAGAGTTTCATTGAATTTTTCCGGCGGGCAGTCAGGCGGTCGGTTTATGACAGCTATGCACAGTTGGAGATGGGAGATATATAGTATTATTAGTATAACATGTTCCACATATCCATTAATTGGAGCCTAAGTGCAGGGGAACTGGTTTTGCCTCGAGAGAGTTTCTGAGGTAGACCATAACACCTCTTTTTTTCCTCCCTTATTATCGGTCTGCTCGGTAATGTGCTTCATTGTTAACGTGCTTAAATGATTAGTTTCAGTTTTTAAGTATTATTATTTATAATGTGTAGGGTTGCGGATCTCGCTTGGGCTGGACGTGGAGGTGGTATTCTTCAGGCTCGCCATTGAAGTTTTCCTACAAAGTGTTCAACACGAGGGCCTACTTCACACTCTGTGGATCAGAGAAGCGCCACTAACCGTTATATGTGTCAAGTTATCACAGATCCACAGATCTATCGTGAGAAGCGATAGAGTTGGCAGTTAATGTGCCGAATAGTTTCTTGTATTGCATTATATATTAATCTAAACTTTTGCCTCTTGTTCTGATTTAAAGAAATTGTTAGTGTTCATTAATATTTGAAGTGCCAGCGTGAGTGAAACGAACCCGATGAAGGACAGCCTTCATTACACACACCAGATTCTTGAAGAAGTCCCGCTCTTTTGAAAGGGCCGTTGCTGCGTATAGTTCGAGTGTGACGTATTGTTGCCAAGGGTTTTACGGAGCCTACAAACTACCGCATTTTCTCAAATTTGAGATTGTTCCGGAGTTATTTTCACTGTTCGAATTTTTTTGTTGGATCATATTTACATGTATCATGGACATATTTCCGCCAAAATTTCTGTATTCAATGCTTCCTATAAATTGAAAATGAAAGTTGTTACAATCGAAACGTCGTTCCTAAGTTCGAATTATTTCCTTGAACCTGAATTTTGATCAACCAGCGTCATATGAAGAATATTGTTTGATCCTGAAAATGTAAATCAATGAATTTTTGGTCATTAACTTGGGTGGATAGCTAGAGGTCAGCATAGCCCAAGTCCACAGTGCGATTCAGATACCTTCCCGAGCGTAACGCAGCCGGGCATCTTCACGGCTTTCGACACAGAGCGCCCACCACAACAGCGCCGTTCAGTCACAGGCACTGTTCAACAGCGCCGGAGCACAACTGGCCGGAGCGCAACAGGCCCTACCGCAACAGGCTACTCCTAACGTAACCTAACCTAACCTGTGCCTGTTGCGGTAGGGCCTGTTGCGCTCCGGCCAGTTGTGCTCCGGCGCTGTGGAGCAGTGGCTGTGTTGTGCAAAGCGGATTTACTGTTGGCCAGAGTTACCCACAGCTCATTGATCTGACGCTATGTGTAGATATTGCATGCTGATGGTTGGCGTTGGGCCCAGGGCCTGTTTACGAGTCAATTTTGTTACCCACGGCAGCGCTCCTATTAACTTGACGCTCAACATAGTTTACGACACATGACGCTCAACATGGCTCACGAGTTACGACACATGACGCACATCATGGCTTACTACACATGAAGCACATGGCTTTCAACACATGACTCACAAGGTGGCCTTCAGCAGAAGCTGCGCAGCACTTGAATAAACTAAATGACAAATATTCATAAGCGACCAAAGGATCATTAATCATTTCATCTAATGAATAACGAATAAGCGAACATCTGTGTCAACGAAGCTCTTGGTCTTGTTGAGCGATGCACGTGTCGTCGCGACAGACGCCCACGCCAGCACCAGCTACCCAGCTTGAATATGCGCGGTGCTCACCCATTGATGATCCCATGAAGTTTTTCGGCGCTGACACTTTGCCACGTTCTGGGTGTTGGGAAATGCAGACAACGTAAACTCGTGTCGGGAACATTCTGAATGTTGGAAGTTAAGACATCTTAAATCCAATGCCTGGCGGTCGCGTCGGAATGTTGAGAACTAAAGACACATTAATCCAATGCGTGGCGGTCGCATTCAGAATGTTGGGAACTAATGACATCTTGGTTCAACACTTGGCGTAATCTTCTTCGATTTTAGCCAGCGTATTTGCTGTGAAGAATGTTTCAAGAGTTTGTTGACAAGAATATTGTCATAAATTTACAACAAAGGAAATGTTAGTAGAAAAGGAGATAATACTTATTCATCAACAGCAACGTGCTGAATGATGGCCACGTAGAACGCAGATGAATCAGTCAGACATTATAGATAATGTCAAGAGATTGCAATGGATGCGGAAGTTTTACACCACGTTCAGTTGTATGCTGCACATAAATTAGAGGATTGGGGAGTTGCAATGCAATGCAGCATTCTATTTAAAGATAGCAGCATTTGTTTCCTGAAAAGTAATGAACTTTGGTGCGAAGCTCGAATATCCTTTTTCATTCTGTTGACAGAATAACACATGTTTATTGGCGAAATAGGACCTCAAGGTCTCGTTGTAGAACTTCACTAGTAAATTCTTAAACTATATATCAGTGTTTTCCAAACTTTTTCAGCCTGGCGCCCCCTTGTCTCCCCTGTGAATCTCTAGCGCCCCTCCCCCCCGACAGATACCTATAAAAACAAACGCCTCTTTCTTGATATTTAGTGTGCTGCGATTTTAAAAGAGAAAGGTTAAACACAAATGTGTATTTTACAAATAGAGCCCCATTTAGTAAACCAATATATATTTTTTTAGTTTTAACTGTTTCAGCACTAGAAATTCAAGACGGCTCGGACAAATTTACGGCCGGACTCGTGGCCGGCCTTGCAGCCGGTCTCACGGCCAATCTCCAAATTTAGCGACCAAGGAATATTTCCTAAACTAATGAACGAAGCTCGATAAAACTTGGAACACATATTCATTAGGACCTTACGGTGATGTTTAGCTCGTGAAAATTTTTAAATTTCACCTTTATTCGTGAGTTTTATGGCGATACGGACCTAAATTCGCAGTGATCAAAGAATTTCTTCCAAACTACGGTACTGAACAGATTCGAACGAAATTTTTAATATAAATTCCTAGCTACCAAACGCTGATTTTTAGCTCGTGAAAATTTACTCGAGTCGGAGTCATGTTCTACACGTGTTGTGTACAAATTGTCTTGACAAACGTACGAACTTCTGACTTCGACTTCGCGGACTGCCGGCCCCCTCCTGCCCCTTTCTTCCTCACCGGCCCCCCCCCCAGATCTTCCCACCGCCCACAGGGGGCGATATCGCTCACTTTGGGAACCACTGCTATATATAGAGGTCTAACAGGTACTGACAGTTATAGGCTGTCATTCAGAACAACATAGCAACCGCTGACCACTAAATAGTTTAAGTATTTAGTGAAACATCTCGTGAGTAAACAAAAACACATACATCAGATTATTCGAACTGATGTATATTGATATTTCTTTTGACTTGCCTCTCATTTTTGGTTGTGAACAACAAATTCGTCGAAGTCATATGAATCTAACAGAAATTATGCAAGAAGTAATAATTATAAGCTAGATTTATACAAGGTGAACAGTAGAATAACATTAAACAACGTGAAATTATACGAGTGCAAATTAACAAGGCTATACGCTAGATACTATTTTTCTATCAAGGTAAGCCCATAATTAGTCAGATCTAGCCAGGAAATAGCTAAGTTGGTCATAGTGAATTCATCATGTATTCATTTTAGAGCCATGGCATCGATAGTTAGTTTGTTACAGCCTCGGGAGTAACATTATACAGAGCACAATGATTCAGAAGAACGGGTATTTAGAATATTCGGCCTGAGGATCTTCATGGAATCTCCTGTGACAATGCGACGCTCGAACCTTTGGCGGGATTATCAAGGAAAAAATTCATGTTTCGCCGACCACGGTTATCACGACTCTACTATATAAAAAGGCGTAGAGTAATAAGGTGAAACTTTCATAATGAAAAAATTCATGAGACATCCAGCCTTCGTGGACTAGAAAAATCTAAGTCATTTATCATACAGGTGCGTTGGCGGCTGCTTGCATTTGTTTATTACTGCACCTGGACCAACAAATCAAAGGCCTATAAAATCAGAGCCACACGCCAACAACGTGACAGAGCAGCAACAGCCTTTGAACTGCCCGCAGACCCTGTCGTTCCCCAACAGTCCCAGTAGCAAGAGCCCTTGAACAGCCCGCAGACTCTGTCGTCCAGTCAGTGATCACAGCCCCAAGATGTCGCGAGGTCTCGTGCTTCTCATCGTCGCCGCGGCGGCAGCGTCGACGCAGGCGTAAGTAACGCGTCTTCAGAGAGCCATGAGTGGTTTCCTGTAACACTAACCAAGCGGAAATATGTACAAGTTTTTGGCTAGGATATTTCGCATTAAATGCTACTGATATTTATTACTAGGTTTCTTATGATTAATAGGGCAGTAACTTCTTATACTTAAGGCGTTTGGCTTCATACGATATCGGCATCAATACTTGAATTTGAGGAAGAAACATGATAATAAATATTCTGAAGAAGGCAACGTGAAAATGTGAATTAATTAAGTGACAATTCATGATTTGAAACGATGTAGGAATAAAATCAGAGTTATTCACGGTATTCGATGCTTGCCTGACAATAATGGGATAAAAAATAATAGTAAAGGTGGTGTCAGCGGTTCTTAGGCCGTAAGTCCTTTCACCGATTCTTAGCATTGCAGAACATTCAGTTTGCTACGGGTCTCAAACATGTAACTCACTTTTTCCGGTTTGGTATTCCGATCTGTAATCACTTGGCAACCCTACGTGGGCGACATATTTGCTAATATGTCGCATAACATTGCCCTCCTGCAGGTGAATGACAACAAATTATCTTTGCTTCAGGCATGAGTTGCATTTAAGGGGATCATATTCATTTGAATAATATAATTCGTGAACCGCTGTAAGATTTGGTCCTCGCTGAGAACAAGTCAAGTCATGAGCTGGAGGCCCGACGACCTATCATTGTTTTCCTAATCATATTTTATCATTACATTCCTACTCAGCTTTAATCATTGTATGGAGTGAGGAGGAGACTTTACACCAGCATATGCATCCAATCGCGGAGAGGTGTTCGTACATCTTAATGCAGCAGTGACATTTTCAGCTCGCGGAAGGACATGTCCGTTAAACTTATTGTAACACTGCGATTTGCAGGTTGTGGAGGAAAAAGTTTTCGTACGTCTTAATGCAGCAGTAAGATTTGCATGCCGCTTAGGGCAGCGGAAAAACTTTTCGGAAACTGTGATTTCAGACAAAGGTTGTGCTCCTCCAGACCCAAATTCAGGAGATACCTTCGACCTGCGATTTTTTCTTGATCAGATCAATTTTATTCACACTGTAAGCAAAAACATAATTTGAATATTGATGTTGCCCAACTACCCCATTAACTTGAAAGGATTAATTTGTGAAAACTAAATTTCTGAGTAATACATCTTAATTCGAACTTGATGAAGCAGAAAACTTGACTGCAGGGATAATAGAATATGATTGATTATGTAAGTGGCGTACCTATTAATTTGTGGTTTAATTCTAGAGCCGATTCGGCTTGCTTTTTGGCGTTGCTTGATGCCCAAATCGCTCTGTCACCGGGCTGGTCTGCTTGCATGACGCAGTACAATGCGGACATTATGAAATTAAATGCAGGTAAGTGTTCAAATAATTATACAAACTATTTTACCCGCACTTAAAACCATCCTCATTGAGTAAACTTCTCACACAGCTCTAAAATATTTAGATTTCGATGTGTAGATACTCTAGCGTGCGAATCAAACATGCATTTTGCTCATTGATAAATGCAGGACAATAACTTTTCTTTCATTGATGCGTATTGAGTTTCCAATGATTCTTGTTGCGTTACCGAACGTTAGCTAACCAATATGCCACCAACACACCATAAACGACAGATTCGTTCCTCCTCAGCTCCGAACTGCTCTTTCTACGCTGAATCGTACGACGCGCCTACATGCGATCCAATTGTTGCCAACTTTATGAAGTGCGTGCTGAAAGCAGCCAAACTTGTGAGTAAAGCACAATACTGAGCATCGAGTGTAGGACTTGTGCGGGTAACTGTACAATGGTCATTGAGTATAGAGTGCAGAACTTGTGCATGGGTGTGACTGTACAATGGTCATTGAGTATAGAGTGCAGGATTTGTGGGTGTGACTGTACAATGGTCATTGATTATAGAGTGCAGGACTTGTGAGTATCTGTACAATGTAAATTGAGTATCGAGTGCAGGACTTGCAGTGGTGGGCACAGCTAACCTAAAAGTTAGCTTCGATAACCGCTAATCCGCCAACTGAAAAGTTAGCTTTGATAACGCTAAACCGATAAATCACCAAAAAATGTAGCGGAATTTGCCGCTAACCGATAACTTTTAATATATAAATTTAGATTTGGCTTAATTTTTTTTTGGGGGGGGGGAACTCTGAAAAACAGGCCTAGCGAGCTGAACTTTCAGCCTTGAAAAGGAGCTTCCCCAAAAGATGTTGCATGCCAAGAGCAGATGATGATCAAGATTACGTAACATAAATAATTAAATGAACAAATGAAATTAGGCAGTAGTAGACATTCAACATACAGTTTATTAAACGAATAAGAAATATTAAGGTTACACCAGGGTTACACACTTTTACTCTGGCTTGCCCTTCGCCTTCATCTCCTCGAGGTGATGATTGTTGCCCCTCATGAACATCAGCCTCTCAAAGTTGGCATCTGACAGGGTGGCACTGGATGGGATGGCTGTGTTGTACTTAACGAAAAGACGTACTCAGCCGTCAGTGTGGGCGTGGCACACGGCTTACGATACTTAGCATTAAATCAGAGATTTTTAAACATTTTTAGCGGACTGCCAGTTAGCGGAACTAAATGCCAGTTAGCGGAAGCTAATTGGTCCGTTTAAAGGTTTTCAAAGTTAGCAGACCAGTTAATCCGGTAAGGAAAAAGTTAGCTTCGCTAATTAGCGGTTAGCGGAACTGTGCCCACCACTGAGGACTTGTGAGTGTGACTGTACATTGGGCGCCGAGTTCACGACTGGACATAACAGCTCAAAACTGGTCTCACACTCGCAACACTCACGCACAGCACTATTTATGTCTGGTGTGTAGGGCTAATTTTTCGGGGTTAATGTCAGTCACAAACTATTGGGCGTGACCCACTGGTGGGGCACACAGACCTGGCAATTGTGTGTCGAGACAGCGGGAAGACATTTTCCAATTCGATATTGCTTCCATATTAAAAAGTTTCTACATACATTATCGTCGACAATGCTCCTACATTTCTACGCAATAGCTCACACGAAACGTGTGAGATTAGATCAGCTTGAGATACCCTTTCCGATCTTATTTAATGGTAAATGAATTTTTTCACCGAGCAAAAACCTTAGTGTAAATCCAAACTCCAGTTACCATATATCCTTCTTATCTCCACCTCCTGTTCTCCAGCTGAAGGCAGACAACACGTTCGACGACGCGGCCTTCAAAGCAACCACATTGCAGAACAAATGCAGCGCTGACGCCAAGTTCATAGCCGCCTACCCTACGTGCAAGAACTCCACCATGAAATATTTGAACGTAAGTAAGAGCATGTGCTTATCTATTTGATTTAGAAATAAATGCTATATTTTCCAAATGTATTTCTCAAATTTTAAAATAACAAGGAAAAATGAGCAACGGTTGCGTATAGTTCGAATGAAGGGAAAAACCTCTTTCATAGAAATTCAATGATGACAGACCACTGCTGCAAACAGAAGATATTACAGAATGTTCGTAAATGTTCACCTCTGAAGCCTCATGTTCCAGGTCGCCCGACTAATCGCCTGTCTCCTGAGTGCTGTATATTGACGAGTGATATCACGGAAGAACATGAACGGGTGATGTCATGGAAGTACATGGAAATGAGCCAGAAGAAGACGAACTGCAGCAGCAGAAGACTTTTCTTCTTGCGTAACCCATTCATTTCCGCTTAGATGGATTGATGACGAGAATATTGTTATTGTTGCAATTTTGAATTCGGGATTTCATCGGTTATGTTTATGGCTGCGTGTTTTAATCGTTGGTTTACGGATTTTCTTACAATCGAGTTTCACCCTCTTCCCCATAAAATAAAGATTGGGGAAAAGATCGGTAGGATACATTTACTATACAACCATTAGGGTACTTTATCCGTTTGCATACATTTTTACCGAGTTTCTGGGATATAAGCTACATCTATATAATAAGAATAGAATAAATGATTTGAATGTTCATGTTGTTATTGGGCCTGTACCACAGAGTGAACGTGAGCCCTTAATACTATCCGCAATAACCTAGTCAAGGATCGTTACACGTCTTGCACTTCAATACAGTCACTGACAGGAGAATAAGGACGATCAAATACTAAACTTTCATTCTACGACGAGTATCCCTCCTGATCCCTTAATGGGTTCCCTCCTGATCGTTGTGCTGGTAGGTCGTGTACCGCCCGTGTGACATTTAATGCCGCGGGCCTGATTTTACGTCGGTTTTTGAGTTTGAGCTGAGAGTGCTATTCTCAAATCTGAGCTCACGTGTTATGAATCTAGTGAAGTGATCGTGGTAGATCAGGGAACTCATTAAGCCATTAGAAGTGTGGAAGTCAGTTGAAAGTGTTCAGGCCAGTCTAATACTTTCAAATTTCGTAAATATCGTAATTAAAAAAAATTCGGATTTAGCTAGATTAATTGCAATTTAGCAATCAAGCATTCAACTTGAAAATCAAAATAGCCTTTCTGCGGTGGAGAAGTGAATCAATGATAGCAAAGTGTGACATACACAAATAATTAGATACTTAAAAAACAAATACTGTGAATGCATATGTGACTCAGGAAGGTGTCAAGCGTGCAGGGAGTGTGCATTCGAGCCCAGGCCTGAACTAAATTTTATTACTTTTATCCGGTCGCCAGACCGCCGCCAACCGCGGCCAAAATTCCATACCCTGGAACCCAACGAGGAGAGATAGTGTAGCTACGGCAAGACTACCGATAAAATAGTAAAACCCTTCTAACTAACTATCCATTGAAATAGGCAATCTTGAAAAACAGAATTAGAATTAGTGCAGCTAGACAAACAAATTAGAAAAAAATACGGCATTACGGCAAAATGTGTTGTGATTGAGCCCACTAAGGGTAGTTCATGTACAATCTGCCGCAAGTCTTGCAAAGCACCATTAGCCGTACAATGCAACAAATGCCGTTTGTTCATACACCTTCAGTGTACAGAGCTTCCGCTTTACGTTCTCGTGAGACTTGACCAGATTAGAGTTTCATATGAATGTGAACACTGCGTTATGAAAGAATGCGAAGATAAATACAATGTGAGTAACACAACGCTTCAGTCAGCCTTGAATTTTCGGGCAAAGACTTATCCAGTACGGCCTCCTACTTTCCCCCCCTACCAGCCTTACCCCCTCCCATTCCCCATCCACCTCCCTACTCCTCTCCCCCTACCCTAATCCTGCCATAAGCCACACCCCACTCCCACCCTTACCCCTGCTCTGAGCCCCACCCCTACTCCCGCTCCCACCCTCGCCCCCAGTACTAACCCTACCCCTACCCTTAATCAGACCCTTAGTCCTACCCCACCCCCACAATTACTTCTGACCCCACTCTCCCCTCCGGCTCAAACCCCACATTCCCACATTGCTCCCAACCCTACCATGAACCTTCTGGATTTGGAAATCGGTTTGCCATCATCTTTTCCAACCTTACCCTCCTCCCAAGAAGCCTATATGTGACTATATAGGCTTCTTTCTTTCGAGAAGAATAATTAAACTTGTGGAATGTTTAGAATCTCCATCATCTGCTATCACAACTTGCAGGTCGCGTGCTATCGCAGGGTTGCATTACTGGTAGCATGAAAAATTGATCGACGTTGTACGAGGTGTTGGTGTTTAATTAAGCATTCCTCGCACCGCCAATAATTAATACTTTACTTTATTTGGGATACGTAGAAATAGAATTGTTATGTAACTTATTTTGCTAAAATCATGTCTATGATATAAGCTCCAGGTTAATCTTTTGTCACACTTTTCATATACATTATTAGAAATAATGAATAAGTTTGAATTAACTGTCAATGATCTTCTACCTGGCTCATCAGTAACACAGACTGTAATCAAACTGCGGTATGTTTCATAACCAATATGACTTCTAAACCGCCTCTGTATTCGAGGAAACAAAACACCAACGATGAAAAGTATAAAGCATGTGAATGTCGTACGTCTGTTTACTCACTATTGCATGACATATTCAACTAGTTATATTATCACTATTATTAAGTTGATTTAAGCTATTATCAATTTTTGTTAACTATTAAATTCGAATTTGCATGTAAATTTTCGGTTTTCATTATTGGTCCTGCCATGATGTCATCAGCCTATAGCAGCAGTGGCTGTCTGTGGCTGAGCGAAAATTAGAGAAAACGGCGAACGAACTGTTGAGAAAACAGCGAACGAAGTTTCGGAATGATTCGTTTTGCTACATTGAGCGTTTAGCTAGTGGAGATGTGTGCAACTAACGTACCGATTTGTTTCAGTGTAGTGGGGCAACGGGACCATGCGTGTCACGGGGCAAAGGGCCCATGGTGAAGTCTTGTGTTATACATTATTAGATTTGTCTCAATGAGCTCTTCAAAACTATGGCAAGCGTTTTGAATTACGAATTACACTTCATATTTTATGATTTTTTTATTTGCCGCCTCAAGGCAGCATGCAGGTTCTAGTTTCTAGTTATACGTATTTGACCCCTTGCCTTGCTCTTGACTCTTGCCTTGCCAAAAGTTGATTTCAGTCAACACCAATAAGCCAAAAGTTGATGAGTTTTTATGGTGTTGGCTGAAATCACGATTAAGTAAGAATTCCTTGCTTCCCTGATTATGGACGAAACTGGAACGAAGTTTTTTTTCTGATCAACTAAATATATTTTTTCTAGTCAAGGATAAATTTTTTCATATCAAGGATGAATATTTTATGGCAAGGATATATTTTTCAAGTCAAGGATATACATTTTTATGTTAAGGAAAGATTTTTCTACGTTAGTAATAGATTTTTTAGCCACGAATATATATTTTTTTAATTTAAGGAAATGATTTTTTAAGTTGTTAATAAATGAATGAATGTAATATTCTTTATTGCATTTTTCTTATTTTTAACTGTAAAGTGCTGTTTTATCATTTTTGAACGAAAAATATGGACCCATTGCCCTAAGGGTGGGGCAATGGGCCCATTTTGACACTTTTTACAAAACAGCGTTTCATTAGTAATTGAATAAAGGCGTGTCATTCTCATCATACATTCCTCATCAGTTGTAAATTTAAACAAAACATAGAACCACCTCGTATCAATTAATGCTTCATAAAAAATTTGGTTTAAAATAAGGGGAGGGGGCCCGCTGCCCCATGTTACCCTACTTTCAAGCCGAATCGAACATGTGGCGGCTGATTTGCGTGCTCTACAATCCTAGGCGGCAACTATTTTGGAGTCGCGCCGCAACTAGAATTTATTTGAGTAGTCTAACTGGAAACGGGCAATATTAAGAGGGCCGTTCACGGACGCTCCAACTCCAAGCTCGGCACACTGGGCGAACTGAGGGTAAATTTCAGCGGCAGTGTCTGGCTGCGTAGTGACGTGGCCGAGGGTGCACGAGAATAGTTATAATATATTAGATTATATAATTATTATATTATAATTATAAATTTTTAATAATTTATAACATTGAGTTCCCTGAGACCAGCAGATCTTTGTAAAATCTGCACTCGCGTGTATGTTCGGCCGTCACCAGCCCTTGGTCTCGTTATCACTTTAGCCACATAGTTGTGGCTAACCCACCCCAGGCCTCAAGGATATTGTTTTAGGCAAGGGGCGGCTTTAGGTGGCCGGTGAATCGCCAGCGGGCGGCCGCAGCTAACCTGCTCTGGCCGACCGCTGGCCACCCACGGTCCGGGAAGGAGAGAAGGCACTGAAGGGGCACTTGACAGCGCCGAGAGTGAAATTTATGAGCTTGCGGTTCCCTCATAAACCACAGGGCATGTTTTGATTTCAACAATTTAGGATACAAACTCTATTTGAAAGTGTAGTCTCATGTAATACTAATGTAGCAGTTGCGCAAATATAGCTGCAAATTTTTTTACAATGGTAATCCGTACCACGGTACTTCGCATCATTATGGTTTTCGCTCCTGTTATTTGCTTTAAATTTAGTATTTATTTTTGCCTTTTTATTATCATATAAATCATAATATTTACAATCACAGTAATAATAATTTAAATCAGTAATTCAGTATGATAATAACTCAGCGGGCTGATATAAATATTACAGATTATTGAGCAATGTGCAATGTGTTGTTACACGCTAATTTTTAGACTTTAAAAATGTATAAAGAAATAGAATATAAATTTAAATGCATGTCTTAACCATATTTGATGAACTTCTGATAAAAATTTACACATTTACATGAATGTTCTAATTACTGCACAGATCATGTACGTATAGAATTTAAAATGCTATATTCCAGCTCATTTAATTCAATGATTAATTTATTAACCAGACCAGTGGGCAGGGAAAGAAGAGTGCATGTTTACCTTGAAGAGAATATTTATTGCCTGCCGGATAGCATGACAAGCAAAGGTCTGGTCCTGCTTTAATCTACGGAAGTTTCACCTACCTTTCGGCTTCAAGTGCTTATATCTAATACTAGAATAATAATTCGGAAATGTTTGGGGTAGCGATAAATGAAGAAAAAATACTTAAACTGACGTATATCGAGAAAAGTCACACACTTTACAATTACCGGGGTGCAAAATTTCATCCTCCCTGATAACAGTTGAAATAAAAAGTTTACATAATTTATTTTAATGTCTACGTATTTAAAATAATTAGCCAAGATAGCATTCCAAATTTCAGACTTGGATCTTATTTACGAGGGGAGTTATTGAACCTAGTAATAGTTAAGAAACTCCGTAAGCGACTAACGCAGCTGAGCGCGTTCATGCAGAGTCTCAACATAGCAATCGAGCAACGAATATATGTAGCTGGATTCAAACTCCATGATGTTGAATTCGATAGACTTGTGTTGCTGGCTATACGATGATCGAAAGAGGCCTACATGAGAGTGATGCTAGAAAATAAAAAATGGTGTCTCCGACATATAGATTATAGAATACTGGTTAAAAATGCAGAGGAAAATTGACCAGCTAAGCAACCTCGAGAAAACTCCGAAAAAAATCCCCAA